CATAACATAGCATTTATTGATCTTTCCCGAAATCTGAAATAAACAACGGCATGATACCAGACAGTTTCTGATGCGTATCCTTTTTCCTACTTCCATTTTTTAAATTACAAAAAATAAACCAAACAAACGTTCCAGTCGGCTTGGAAGTGAAACCGCACAAACACAGTACTGAGTTTGATCAATATTATTTTGCACAACTGCGAGGGCAGTTACTTTTGAAATGCATGACACCCCTGAGTGATATCATGCCTGTCTTATTACGTTCGAGTTCGCGAAAGGAATATTACGGGGCCTTGCTGATGTACTCAACAAAGTTGATTATAAATATTATAATTAGATGATATTTGTATAGCGCCAATATCCAGCTCAACTGGTACCCTGCCACTTTGGTTGTAAAAACAAAATGTTGGCAATTAATTATGAAATATGACTTCAATGAGTCAATAACGCGGATCTTGGGGTCAATGGGTGTCTTTTCGTGATTGCTGAGAATGATGGGAAATAGGTGCTATCGCGGTGGGCGCGAAAAGCGGACCCTTATGAACAAGGTAAGCGGAAGTGGTACGCGTATAGAAAGAGGTGATGTCATTTCACACAAGTTTTCTCCGATGTTACTGTAAACAATTATAATGAATGAAAATTGGATTAAATTTAATCAAATAAAATGAAATCGAGGTAGATCGTTTTATTTTGAGTTTTCTGACATCATACGTTTTCGGATACCAGTGTTTACCCATTTTATAACGCGGTGTGTTGTATCACAGCAAACATCGTAAGTATACTCGGCTCATGGCGTGTATTTATGATAAAGTTGTCTTTCATAAGTTATTACGATGTTCCGCTGTTCGTCTGATTTGAAATACCTGAAAAAAGAAACAGAACCAAGCTACTGATCTGGTATCTGCAGTTGCTGTCTTGCTGACTTTGTAAGTAGACGACTTGAGGCGATCTCAAACTTACTTCCAGGAAAATAGCGACCGTCAACCAAAGAAATGCATAGATTTTGACCAAATAATTCGATTTCAAGACATTTTAGAAAAGGTTTAAAATGATTAATAAAACGACGGTACGAAAACCGAAAATACCGAATTTTTGGGTTGCATTACGGTATACCGAACCGAAGGCAAAATACCGCGGTTTTACTAACACCGCGGTATACCGTTTCACCCCAACTTTTAACCTCTAGGCTACCCCACCGCCCCGTGTACAGAAGTGTCGTGCCTCGCTGTTAAGATCACAGGGGTGTGTCACGCTTAGAAACAGACTCGATTATTTACAGACAGCCGCCATATAGCTGGAATATTGCTGAGTGCGGCGTAAAACTAAACTCACTCACTCAATATAGTTATCAGAACATACAATTCATCTGAACACAAGACTGCGTTCATTTATTATTTCCATAACTATAATGCAACTATTAATATATACATTATACTTTTGCAAAATGAGTCTGCGTGCTATGTAATATAGAATTTTACTTTTGTAAGACACGGTTTCGATTTGTAAATTATATTACCTGGGTTACCAGAGGAAACAGCTGTGCCAGATGCCGCCTGATCTCTGAGAGAACGGAAGGCTTCCGTGTACATTTCCTTCTCGTGCTTGTCAGATCCGCTAATGGATGTAAATCACAGACTGTCATGGTATGGATATAAGGCGAAATGGGTTTAATATCAAGTTCAAGGTAAACGGGAAGGGAAAGTGTAGGCGCGTATTTCTAGTTGCGTCCGTTTGTTTCGATGTCAATTCATATACCACATGAGCTTTTCTTGTTTGTTGTTGTACGCCGCACTCAGCGATATTCCACATATATGGCAGCGGTCTGTATTTATTCAAGTCGGAACAAGACAATCCAGTGATCAACAGCATGAGCACCGATCTACGCAACTGGGATACTATGACATGTGTCAACCAAGTCAGCTAGCCTAATCACCTGATCCCGTTACTCGCCTCCTACCACAAGCATGGGTTACTCAAGACCAGTTCTCGCCCGGATCTTTACAGGTGTCTGATGGCAGCTTTTGGGCTGGACCGGTCATTTCCTGGTTTTGCCTGGCGCATTGAGAAACTTTCAGTAATCCATTCCTATAACTTGTAACGATGTTTGAATTTTACGCCAAATGGAATCTTTCTTTTTTTTAGGAATTTCAAGACGTATTCTCAGACTTTGACGTTTTGTATTTTTAGTGAATGAGTGAGTTAAAAGTTTACGTGACATCAGCATTATTTCAGAATATCGTTACGACAGAAGGTCACACACTATGAATAAATATATGTATAGTTTATAAAAGGGGTGCATCGAAGGACATTTTAGCAACTTGCTTAATAGTATATTTAAGACTGGTTGACATTGTTTTCATTTTTTAAATAAAACAATTATCATACAGAATCGGCTATAGATTGCCCTCTACCAAAGTGAGGCCACCATACTGGGGACCATGGAAACTTAATACTTCTACTTCCTATGATGCTCCCACGCCGGATTTACACCATCACTCTAGCTGCTGGAGATTGTAGCCAACAATTTACAAATATACTACAAATAAATTAGTGGTTGGAATACATATTCTGTGAAAGAATGGTTTTACGATACCCTCCCAGGCTGACAATAATTTTACAAAACTTCCACCACCTTTGAGGGTACACCTGCTAACAATCCCAATTGCAAATTTAATCGATCTATTCTATTTCTTTTACAAAATCAATAATTAAATGAAAACCAATATTATTAAAAAGATCCTTCGTGGATGATGCTTTGAAATACGTATCCACTGTGATTTAAAAGTCAAACAGTCAAGCCGGACATGCTTGACCGTGATTCCTTCATCATGTGCAGTTGTGTGCGGTTGAGCCTTTTATTCCAGAAACCAACCTTCAAACGTCCTTTACAAACCCGAGAGTTATTCCCCGTCTTCCGGCGGCATGCTCACCTTGCATACCGCTAAAGAAAACGGAGTTATCTCCCTTAGATCAATGTTTAACTAAACATATTTTGTACCTTATTACCATATTTCACAATCACAAGGGATGCTATATGGAGAGTACGCACATTGTAATAAATATTCATGCGGGCATCTGTAGTAGCCTATACGGAGTCGTGATTGTGATTGTGAAATAATAGACCTCTTCAAATCTGGACTGACAACCTTAGTGGCTGTAACCGATAGTTAGTTATATTGCATGTAGTTCATTGATATCTACTTGGGTGTCCCACTTCTTGTACATTAGATCTCGAATGTAACATCTAATAGAAACAGAGAGAAACTTTACAGAAACTGAAAAGTGAAAACAAATTCGGTTACTATAGAAGAACGGCAAGAAGGAGGCAGCGATACCAACACTCGTCCTCGACTACGAGCCTACCGACACAGGAAGGGTGATCAGAATGATAACAGATAGGGGCGTGGCCCCGCCCAAGCGGAATATTGTATTAGTGTCATTTTTTTGGAACATTAGTGGTCTGCTTTTTAGGGTGTGTGATACTGTTTTCTTATCCTTCCTAGCACACCATGACATTGTGGAACTCACTGAGACCTGGCATGATCATACTTCTCTTGAAGATGATTTACCTGAGTATGTGCGTTATAGTGTTCCAGCAGTGAAACTATCCAATGCAGGAAGACTATCAGGCGGCATTCTAGTGTTAGTTAGAAGGAGTATACAGAAGTCATAAGGTTACACAAATGTACTGAGAATGTAATGTTTATAGTGTTTGATAAAGCTAATCTCTGTTCAAATAAGGATGCACTTATGGCTTGTGTGTACATACACCCAGAAAGTTCTCCATGGTATAACAACAAGCCCACAAAGTGTGGAATACGTATTTTACTAGAACCATAACTTGACATAATTCAAGAGCTTGGCAATGTAGATGTACTACTAGGTGGTGATTTTAATGCAAGAACAGGTATAGAGTTGGATTACATTCTGCATGATATTTCCAGTCATGTTGGTTTAGACCATTGCTCATATATACTCGATACCCGTAATATGTCGCGACATTCGCGCGACATGGTGATAAAGAAATACGGGTGTTCATTGCTGCAGCTCTGTATGTACTTCAATCTCATTATCATGAATGGAAGATGTGGTTCAGATGCAGGTGTTGGTGATTATACTTTTGTTTCAGCAGTGGGTACAAGTGTCATTGACTATATTATCACTTCAAGTTCTTTATTCCCATTGTGTCACGAATTCGATGTCGTTACGAGGTCTGAGTCTGATGATTTACCTGTACGATGTACGTTTCAGTCACGTGGCATACACGTCCCTCAACTCGAGGATGGTAACGCAACACAGGATGTACGTGGCGAAGGTGGCGTTAAGTTTAGATTTAGGGCCTGTTCGATTATTGCGAAACTGGTTTTGGTTTCTGAAACTGGTTTCTCCTGTTACAAACGAGTGTCCAGTTTCGGATACATGGTTTCAAAGTGAAACTAGTTTCTAGTTTTAATTATAAACGGTTGGATGATTTCACCATCCGGTTTCAAAATTGATACCAAAAAATGCCTCAGCTACTATATGTGTGGAACGAATTGGATGACAGCATTGCCGAAGGCAATATTTTTTTTTATCAGTGAATTAACAAATAATATAGAGATGAGATGATTTTGGGGGTAAATATTTGCGTTGACGTAATTACTGTTAAAAGTAATTGTATGTATGCAAGTTACATTCAATAGTCATGTTCAATAGATTGGGGCTTTAAATAATATTTTCCCAGTTCTCAGTTGGTTTTTATCATTATTTTGGTAACAGAAACTGCTGCTCTATTTTGCCACGAAGGTCAGCTGAACTTCGTTTCCGCCATGTTTGTTGTGAGAGAACGCAAAACCGAAACTGCGAAACCTGCCTCGGAAATGGTTTCGAAGTTTCAGAACCCAGGGGAGGTAGGCATTTTAACGATGTAGCATCGCTACGGAAGCATGTGCGTGCCAGAACTAAGTTAAGTACAACTGTACTGTAAAAATTTTAAAAAAGAAATCACCACGGCTGTGTAAAAGATAAATTACTTACGTATCTGAATAACTCAAAATTCTTCTGGAACACCTTGTGCAGGCTTTCTTCAATTATATCCCTAACATAACAACTGACTCGTGGTATACACATTTCTAAAACATATTTCAGCATACAGATACATTTAATGTCGAATTACATTCTCTTGTTCATGATATTGAAGAAAAGATAGATCAAGACAGCCCTAGCATACCTGACGCTCTTATTACAAGAAATGAGATCTGTGCAGCGATTACTGAACTAATATCATCTAAGAGTGCTGGGCCTGATCATATCATTGCAGAATTTTTAAAGTCCTCACATGATATTTTAATTCTCTATATTCAGTTGCTATTCAATGTTGTGTTTGATGGAGCATATTTTCTAGAATCGTAGTGTATGGGTCTCATTGTACCTATACATAAGAAAAGGGACACTAGTGTAATTAACAATTACAGAGGCATGTCAATTACAAGTATTTTCAGCAAGCTGTACATACACATTCTGAATAATTAGACTATCATGTTGGTGCTCTTGCTATGAAATAATTGCTGAATCGCAAGCGGGTTTTCGCCAAGGTTACTCTTACTATTGATAACAGTTTTATCCTACAGTCCGTTATTGAGCGCTATATCTCACAGAAGAGAGTGAGTGAGTGAGTTTAGTTTTACGCTGCACTCAGCAATATTCCAACTATGTGGCGGCTGTCTGTAAATAATCGAGTCTGGACCAGACAATTCAGGGATCAACATCATGAACATCGATCTACGCAATTGGGATACGATGACATGTGTCAACCCAGTCAACGAGCCTGACCATCCGATCCCGTTAATCGCCTTTTACGACAAGCATGGGTTGCTGAAGATCAATTCTAAACCGGATCTTCACGGGTCTCAAAACGACAAGGGTGTATCCTAAGCCCTCTTCTTTTTCTCATTCTTATCAATGAACGAGCATGAATGGAGCATGAATGAAGCATGTTGCGTACCAGGAATTTAGCTTCATCCTGAGCTTGTACACCTATTTCTTTTTTTATTTGCTGATGATGTTGTGTTTATCTCTGATACAGTGTTTGATCTACAGAAAAGACTTGATGTCTTGAAGATATTTTGAGAATTGTTTGACGGTAAATATGGAAAAAACCCAAACATAATAGTTTTCAAAAAAGGTGGAAGACGGTCGAAGTATGGAAAATGGTAATGGTTAACAAATAGAATGTGTTTCCTGGTACATATATCTAGGTATTTTATTCAGTAGGTCATTAGTATGGACCAAGCACATAGAAAATGTATGTTTGCAGGCTAAGCCAGTTTTATTTGGTATTTCTAGATGTCAATGCTTAAGCCATTACCTTTTGACCTGTTCCTTAAGATTTTCGACACCAAAGTTTGTTCAATTGTATTATACGGTGCAGAAATATGGGAACTCAATTGTTGTCAACGAAATAGTTGTACATGTAGCAGCTTGTAAAATAATTTCTAGGAATTATATCCTCTGTTTCAGCTCATGCTGTGCGAGGCGAATGTGGAAGATATCCATTGTATATTTATATCATCAAAATATTGGTATAAAATATTAAAAATGTCAAATGAGCGTTATGTAAAGAAATGTTATAATATGCTTGTACAAATGGAAAGTAATGGTTGCAAGAGCTGGGCATCTAAGATAGAGCATACATTAGAAGTCTGTTGAAATGGATTTGTTTGGCAAGTACAGATGGTTCGAAGTAACACGTTATTTTTGAATGAATTTCTAGTTGGATTCACAGTTTCGTATCAACAAGACTGACATTGTGCACTTAAGTAAAAGGCACAAAACCATTTGGATACGCGCTTTTTAAAACAATGTTCGGTGTTGAATCTTATATACAGTCAGTTATATTAAACATAGACGTGCTCTTGATCAGTTTAGATCGGGGTATCATACTACGAAGAGAAACTGGCAGGTATATTGGACAGGCTAGAAATGACAGATTATGTCATATCTGTAAACTGCCTATATGGAAGATGAATATCACTTCTTGCATATTTGTCATAAATATCAAGCATTGCGGCGCCTGTACGTACATCCCTCTGCAATTTTATGAATATTCAACAATCCAAAAATTTAATACGCTTCTGCAATCATCAAATGCAAGCATCTTAAAACATTTATCAACACATATATATCAAACCATGTTACTGAGACAGTGTTCATTATAATATACTTTCTCACTCTTAAATTCTCAATGTGTAATCTTGGCCTTTTGAATATATTACTTTTCTGAAATATACCACCAACGATTGTAAAACAATATCGAGTGAGTGAGTTTAGTTTTACGCTGCATTCCAGCTATATGACAGCAGTCTGTAAATAATGGAGTCTCGGCCAGACAATCCAGTGATCAACAGCATGAGCATTGGTCACTGGAATACGATGACATATTCCAGCTATATGACAGCAGTCTGTAAATAATGGAGTCTCGGCCAGACAATCCAGTGATCAACAGCATGAGCATTGGTCATTGGAATACGATAACATGTGTCAAGCAAGTCAGTGAGCCTGACAATCCGATCCTGTTAGTCGCCTCTTACGACAAGCATGGCAAACCGAAACATGAGTCTCATTAACCAATTCAGACAATCACCTACTTTTCAGCCGATCCGAATTTTCTCGTTTGAAAGTTAAAATAGACATCACAAACAACTATGGTTACACTGAATTCCAATTCTTTGTTACATAAGAAAATGGTATTTACAAATGAATTTTAATTTTAAACTTTAATAACATCGATGTTTAATGACATCGAGGTGTAGGCAGCATGACCTTAACTAAGACGTCACAGACTGCCCCAGTTTGGTGAGGTCGTAAAATGATTCACAATGCATCTGGTTACACCTGTTATGTGTTGTTTGCGCGTATGCAATGTAGTTCTGAAACGCAGAATGTGATTGATAAAATATCAAGTCCGTACCAGACCGCCAAACTCTTCTAGCGGCAGAGCCTCGTTAGTGAGTGCTGCCTCAGCTGCTGAATCCGGGGTTCTGTTACCACAGATTCCAACATTGCTGGGTAACCAACAGAAGATGATGCTGTATTGGTCAGTAACAAGATCATTATATAGTTCAACAATATCGATTAAAAGTGGATGTTTTCATGACATATTTTAACAGCCTGAAGACACGAATGCTTCTCTGAAAGGATTGTATATTGTTTATATTTGAACAGTATATTGCCATATACATGTATACTTTTAATATGGCGGCTAGTTCTGCTTTGAAAATAGAACTGTTAATCTAGAAGATTTGGAAATAATGACAGTTGCACAATCATCCTTAGAGCCATCAGTAAATAAAGATCTGTGTGTATTTTATTTACGTTAACTGATTCAATTCTTGTATATACTGTAATTCGTGTTTTCTGATTTCTTAAATGTGACCAATGTTAGGTCTACCTGTAGCTTTTCCAATTGCCATAGAGGAGATATGTTTTTTTACTTCAATATTAGCTGCAGAAATGAAAGGTTTGATTCTTATTCCTAGTGGTGGAATTAGAGAAGACTTCTCAGTGTACATATCCTCGAAAACGGATTTAAACACAATAGTACGCAGGGTTGGACTTCTTAGAATATTGTTTTGAAATGTACATGTATTGTAAATATGATTTGATACAGTGGTGTTTTAAAGATGACTCGTCGGCTTCGACGTTAAGACTATCAACCGGAGAAATTAGAAAAGATCCAAGAAAAGGTCTTATACTTTGATGATGTACAGATTCAAGAAGTATCTGCGTTCGCCAAGAAGTGTGTTTACTGTCTTTAAAAGGACTCCGTGCTTTAGCATTTAAAATCTTGAATTTATTCGAATTGTAGTACGGCGAGGGAAATAATGCTCAGCATTTTCCCTTATCTTCTTGTTTTCATTGAACCATGGATCTCGTATGTGTGGAACTGTAACATACTTAGGGATACACTCATCAACTATGTTATTTAGTTCACCAGCGAAACATTTTGCAGCGTTTTATAAAGAGTTACATTTAAATCTGTTACAACACAATACTACATATAAATGCCAGTTAGCTATATTAAATGATGGGGAACATCAGATGGGTTCACAGGTTGTAGTATTGTTGAAAGATGGTCACTTCCACAAAGTTCGTTGCGGACTGACCATTCAAATTCATTCAGTAGGTTCGAGTCTGTAACGGATAAATCAAGAGCTGAATACGTTCCTGCTAAAAGCAGCGTAAAATCATACTCACTCAATCACCCAGGTTCATTTTGTTGTTGCTGTTGTGTGACACAACGACGAAGCTTGTCCCAGTTGCTTTGTCATGCGTGCATGTTGTGCGAGATAATGATCAGATTTTTTATGGGATTGCGATACACGTGACTTATGTAATGTACGACGTCATCCTCATCCAGACTCGCCAGTCCTCATTTATCAACCTCATAAATTCTTATTTTTATTTTATTTTACCAGGGGTTTGAACAATATCTCTGTTATAATTATGCAGCCAACCGTTCCCAATTTAACATTATATTTCCAAGCTGACATTAAGAGACACGATAACACATCAAAGGATTAAAAACATGCCATTTTCTCGGGAAGCAGAAAAATCTCAAACAAAATTAGTATCTTTCCTTGTGTTATATTTAAAATGCCACCAGATATTGTTGATCTTGCTTCGGCCTGACATATACCACTCAGCGTTTACTAAGCATCAATTTTCACGGTACATGGAGACAAGCAAGTCGTTTGCATGAGCTATTGAAAACCTTATGCCCGCTTAAAGTCAAACATGTCGTTTATTATTAGTCAGATTCGTGCATGAAACAGGGTCGACACCATGTCACGCTGTAAACGTTTTTGATGTCAGCCCAAGTGTGTTCAGGAGGGCATGGAATGGACATCAGATGTTTGGATCAGCTATATGAAGGTGGTCGACAGCGTTCAACCACATATACTTATGCCAATAATGGTTGTCACCCCCATCAATGTTTTTAATTGGAGGGATGTGGGGTGGAGGTGTGTGTGGGGTTAGGGGGGGTGGGAGGGGAGACAACCATTATTGGCATGAGTATATATTGAGGAGACTCCAGTGTCTCCTAAACTAGCTAGACAGCTAGATGTCATTTCGTGACGGTCACCAACCTCAGAAATGACCTGCGGTACGCCACTGTCGGTGATGTCTTGTTTTGAGTGCGTAATCGCCTACGTGAACGTTATCTTCAGTCACAGAGGGCTTGCATTCGCATCCCATTAACCTTCAGAGGCAGGCAGTTTTGGATAAAGTCGAAAATCACGTCAATTGGTCAGGTAAGGACTGGGTTCCAGTACTTCCAATAATGAATCGAGACCTCACAGAAAGTCGTACCCGAGTGTGGTGGACACAAAGATTTCAGAAGTCTTACACAGTCGGATATGACAGACATAAATGGGGCTCAACCATGGTTTGGGATGGGATCAGTGGACCTGGGCCAGGGAACTCCATGTCCTACAGCGGGGCACGTTACGCGATACAGGTAATACAGACTGGATATATACGTGATACCTTAATCTGATGCGGTCGGTGCGGAATACGTCGTCGTGCCCCATGACGCACGAGCATGTCATGCGAGGGCCGTTGATGCCTACATAGAGCAGGTGGCCATTGCCTACATGGAGTGACCAGGCTGGTTATCACACCTCAGTCATACCGAACACGTGTGGAAATAGTTGTAGATCGGTTATTGCAATGTCTTCTGGCGACTCCGGGTTAGGATTCATCTTCATGAACCCATGCTTGTAGTGAGAAACGACAAACGGGATCAGATGGTCAGTCTCGCTGACTTGGTTGACGCATGTCATCGAATCCCAATTGTGTAGAGCGATGCTCATGATGACCCTTAGCAAACTTTGGGTAGTATACTCACTGTTATATGACTGACTGACTGACTGAGTTAAGTTTTACGCCGCTTTTAGCAATATTCCATCAATATCACGGCGGGGGACACCAGAAATGGGCTTCACACATTGTACCCATGTGGGGAACTCTTATATGAAACAAAGAGCTCTCTGCGCAGTGTTTGCACTATCATGTAAGTGCTTGGATACAAATATCCTGCCAATTTTCCATTAACTCAAATCGACCATCGGATCATCGCGAACACAGTCTCTTGGTTGAGACGGAGCTTTTGGCTCCCAGACAGAACGGAACAGTCAGATGTTTATTGTTTTACCTTGTCAGATCGACAATGCGGGCTATCACGAAGTTGTCTTCCTTGAAGTGTCAATGAGATTGTGACGTAGCCACCATCCTTGCACCTCGATGACAGATGCAGTTGTGTTGACACTACGTTGTAGATCGATGTTGGGAAGCCCTTCGCTAAACTGATACTACCTGTTAGTACAAGGTATGTGTAGCTTGTTTTGCTGAAAGACTGTGTACAAGCTGACAAGAAGGACTTCATATGAACCAAGGAGTGAAGGATATCCTTGATAGTACAGTGAATACCGCCATGGATTAAACATGTTTATATTTCATAGTCTGGATTGGTAAACGAGCAAACATTGATTATATAACAAATAACAAATTACAACCGGTAAATCATAGAAACATGTTCATGTTGAATATATGTACACATGAGGTGAGGTGAAATGGAGTTTAACGTCGTACTTTAAGAATATGTCGCTCATATTACGACGTGCATGCGTGTGTATGTGTGGCTGCATTTACTAGCCCAGACTTAAGTTGATTTTATAGTGCCAGCTCACTGAGATACCATGCCGCATTTAAGCATGAATACCCCACTCAGACACATTATACTGACTCCGAGCCGACCAGTCCTTGTTGTACCCATTAATGCCGAGCACCAGACAGGGACTAACAAGTACCATACTTACCAACAATTTGTTTTGGTATGACGCGGTGGGGGATCGAACCCGCGACTTCCTGCTCTCCGGGTTGACGCTCTAACCACTACACCACGGAGACGGTTATATATACACATGAACTTAAAACTAATCTGTAATGGTAACCTCGAGCTAGTGATGTATGAGTTATTGAATGCAGTATCTCTGTTTCATTTTGCCATCTTACTTTCGTTACACCATTATTATAATAGTATTTGTGGTTCCCTGTGATGAATAAGTGCAATTTGACCATGGTCAGTGGAGGTTTGCTAGCAACCGGCCTAAACTATATGTCCAGCCCCATGTTGACCAACATTAACTAAGACTCAACCCGTGAAGATCTGGGTAGAATAAGCCTTCAGCAACCCATGCTTGTCGTAAGAGGTGACTAACGGGATCGGGTGGTCAGGCTTGCAGACTTGGTTGACACATGTCATCGGTTCCCAGTTGTGCAGATCGATGCTCGTGCTGTTGATCACTGGATCGTCTGGTCCAGACTCGATTATTTACAGACCGCCGCCATATAGCTGGAATATTGCTGAGTGCGGCGTAAAACTAAACTCAATCACTCAGACTCTATATTTCCTAGATGATGCCGTGTGAGGCCTACATGTATAGTACAACACAAATACATCAAACATTGTAGTTTGTTATACAAGCGCAAGGTTTGTATTATGGACATTAAACATTTTTGTTGCATACATTGCCAGATTTTCATAATTAGTAATATCATGGCTGGACAGTAATTGGATGATTTTTCGCTAAGATGGATACTTATGGCAATATAGTGTATATACTTACCTCGTAGATGTGTGTATAATGGGCACATTAATAAGGTATGGTATTCGTATTCAAGACCATCCCCACAAAACGGGCACATTGCATCGAGTATCGTATTTGAAACAGACTGTCTATATGATGAAATTTTTAATTCGGAGGTAGAAAGTAGTAAAAAAGCGACGCAATTTAGATGATTTGATTTGGTTTAACTATGGCTCCATTTGGAGGGAAATCTTGAAGGTATAGTCAAATGTTAACATTGAAAATACATGCACACGAGCAGACCGGCCTTGCATCCATACATCGTTCGTTCTTTATATAAACATGCTAAATGACCAACATAAACTGAATACATTACCATCTTGGTGGTATATTTGCTGCCAGTAGACTGGAAAACTCCACAATCATTGATATATAACGAATGTTATAAATACCACCTTGGTGGTATATTGGTTGCAAGGTGAGAGAAAATCCATTATTGGCATGAGTATATAATATAGTACATTGCTTGTGAAATATTTGTCGCCTTTTAAAATATGTATTATTTGAGAGGAAGATGTGTTTATCTGCCTTAAAGGCCTGACTTCGCTGGTATCGTTCATGGTCGTGTTTCGGGTACGTGTTCATACTGTGGCTACATATCTTTTACGAGCGCTTCAATATATTTAGCCGTATTGCGCGCCTTTGAGAAATATGTCGCCCCTCAAACGAAGTTTGTACTAACATTATTATTATTTTTTATTTATATATATTTATATAGCGCCAATATCCAGATCACCTACTCAAAGGCGCTTTGTTTTTCCCTCGATCATTGGATGTCAGTCTCAAACGGCACAATGTATTATCAATCTCAACTCCCTGGGGACCATACAACTCTTGCAGCCACTAGGCGCATCGAGTTAATGTGGCTCTCCCATCCTCATAAGGTACCCATTCACAGCTGGGTGGACTGGGACACGTAGTCACAGTACTTTGTTTACTGCACATTACTGTACCCGCAACTAGGTGTTTGCACGTATTCATGTGGCCACCATCTGGTCATATACCAACGGATTCGTGGGTTCTTTTAAGTGCACAGGGTTGTGTTCTGCACACTAGGGGTTGTGACAACACTGAAAAAGTCTGCACACAAGTTGACTCCAAGGTTTTTACACCCGGTCACAGGGGGGCTCGATCCCGTCACCTCAAGCTCTCTGGATCTCTAGCCTGGCGCCTTAGCCAGCTCGCCCAACTCGCCCAGCTCGCCCAGCTCGCCCATCACTCTATTATCGAGTACGTGACGATGGCAATAAGGGATCCGATTCTCACAGTTGCATAAACATGTTATCAATAGTTCATCTTAACGTTGTGGAGTGTATTTCAAATCTACATTAAATCTGAACTGAAAATCCACGACCGTGGTCCCCGGCATTCGAAAAAGGTATACATGGATGATACAAATACGAAATACTTTATTTAAAACTAATATATGCAATCATAAACATTTAAGCATGTTATAGAAAGATTTTCATAATAATTTTACAAAACTCTTTTTTCAACACTACATTCTCACAGGATGGTTAAATTTATATTAATAAAATGCGACACAAAATGATTTGGTCTGAACTGTTGGGTTCCTTCCCACAGAGAAGTGGTTGTTCGTCACGAAGCAAATGTTCTAGAAAGTCTTTTCTTGCATTTGTCTAATACATACTCTACACCTAATAAACCCGACAAGTGACAATGAGGGTTGATAGAGTTATCGTACTTGGATGTCAAAAGGTCAAGGCAACCGTACCTGTTATTATAGTCCACCATTGTTCGATGTATAGTCGTTAAGCTACCCATCCCAACTAATGCTACTGAAAGCGATTGCTAGACTCCACACATGGATGAACATGCATGTGTATTATGTAGAAGAGCTCCAGATAAGATTTAGCTCATGAGGGGGGCCTCAAGCCTGTTCTTGACAATGTATGCACATAGCAACATATCACAATATGCCGGTTCAAAATTGAACATGGATAACTTACCATGCTAATAACAAGTGTCTGTGTTATTACATATACATTACATATACTATTTGAATATTTATTACCCACGTGGTCAACGTATGGGTAATTGCATACTAATCTCGTACGTCACACAAGTGTCGTATCGCGTTGACCTATGTCGTAACAACTTGACCTGAGATTCTAACGATTTGATTGGATAACCGATGACCTCTCAGTTAGGTCACGTTGTGACGGAACTACTTGTTTATTCATAAAAAACACGTGAATTCATTCATTCTACAACTTAAATGCATTGTGGGAATGTAAACATTGCGAACGTTGCCGTGTCGCTCTTTAATTGTGAGTCGAACTGAGACATTATATCCGTCGAAAAACATAAACGCGATATTTCCACCAGTGATGTTAGCCGAGTGAAGCAGTTGCAAACCAAGAAACGGGGGTGCTACGGAGGAGACTGTACGATGACAACTGACATGCATCGTGACGTCGGTTACCAAGGGGACAGACGAGAATGGCGTAGTGACGTCATTACAGTGTGACGTCATGTAAAAGTGTACCAGGGGCGGATACAGCTTTTTGAGAAAGGGGGTTGCACACTATTGGGATAAGGAGGGGTGCACACTTCATTTTTACCCGAGTTTCAATGGTCATGTAACAAACTTTCTGCACAAAAAGGGGGGTGCGCACCCCTGCACCCCCCCCCACCCCCCCTCTGGATCCGCCTATGTGTACGTCAGAACAAAATTCTTCCCCAACCTCTTTATGAAACCGGTTTCGGTTTGAAACCACAACAAGACCAAAACTACGCTATTTTGTCAATTTAATGCATGTAAGACGTGGGTAATAAACAAAATTCCACACTCGGTCTCATTACATACGAATTATACGAAACTCGTGACCTTCCTATGGTTTCCGACCTCGCTTTCGCTCGGTCAGATACCATAGGAAGGACATTCGTTTCGTTTAATTCGTATGTAATGAGACCTCGTGTAGTATTATCTATATCTGCAATGTTAAATATTTAATTCAATAACAACTTAATTTTACTTTTATTGCAGAATTTATTGCGCGTTAAAGGGGCACTGATTCAGGGCGATTAATGTTTCGCGCCAACAATCTATTTACGTCAGGTGGTCAGTCCCTGCTCCCTCGACCGTGACGGACACGGGGGGCTCGGTAGCTGTCCACCTTGGCAGAATTTCTTCAACCTAAACAACGGGACAATAAGAACGTTGAATGTCCATCGGTTGCCGTTATTTGGAAATATACCCGGTAGTTTTTGTTTGATTGTAGTATACCCGCAGTCCCGGCATTTTTCAGCTTTTCTGATGCGTGCATGGTATGATGACTGATCCAATTTGATCCTATTTCTGCGTTTATTACCTCAGTATTTAATCATGTCTTGCAACGATGAGATGTCGGTTGACCTATGATATTAAAAACATACATTTGTTTTATTTGAATCCGTAAATTAAATCAACCCCACTACCCCTACCATGCCATTGCTAGAATAATCTGAAAATTTACTTAGGTAAATAGGTATATACATTTTTCAACATTAGTACACAGCAAATGCTTATACGTATTTCTCATGCAACAATGAAGTTCCGTTCGTATCCTCAAAACAGTGTCAACCCTTAGTTTTTTAGGAAATTAAATTTGCATGCAATACAGCAATTACTACCCCCTTGTTGTAACCCAAGTTGTAAACCTACAACTGTTTATTT